CCCCCCCCCACCTTTCTTTTACCCCCCTGGATACCCTGAAAGCCACAATAAGGTCTCCTTGGAGCCTTCTTTTCTCCAGACTGAACAGCCCCAACTCTCTCAGTCTGTCTGCACAGGGGAGGAGCTCCAGCCCTCTGAGCATCCTCGCGGCCCTTCTCTGGACACGCTCCAGCAGGTCCAGATCTCTCTTGTGCTGTGGCTCCAGAACTGGCTACAGCACTCCAGGTTGGGTCTCACAAGAGTGGAGCAGAGGGGAACAATCCCCTCCCTCGCCCTGCTGGCCACGCACCTCTTGATGCAGCCCAGGACTCGACTGGCTTTCTAGACTGCAAGTGCCACCTGACGGCTCATGTTGAGCTTCTCATCCACCAGCACCCCAAGTCCTTTTCTCCAGGGGTGCTCTCAGGCCAGTCCCTGCCCAGCTGATATCGGTGCTTGGGATTGCCCTGACCCAGGTGTAGGACCTTGCACTTGGTCTTGTTGAACTTCATGAGGTTGGCCTGGGCCCACCTCTTCAGCCTGTCGAGGTCCCTCTGGACCTTGACAGTTTCTCTAGTTAGTTTCTCTATCTTTTTAATAGCATCCAAGTCCTATTACACTAATAAATAGCAACATCAGAAATCTATTTTAACTGCTACTGGAAATGTGCTTTCAGATTAGAATTATTTTTAAAAGGTGTATCTATAGTCAAAAGCTATCACAAGCTATGCACAGAAGAACAAATGCAAGTTAAATTTAAGCTATAGTTTATTATTAGAAAGTGTGACATGCAGTTTTACTGTATATTTTTTAAATCTTTTGTCTTGTAGCAGTATATTTAGTGCATTTAAACCTCAGTTGTGAATATCTCTTACAAGGTTATCATACATCATTTTTTATTTAGATAGAATCTGGATATTATTTATACCTCAGCCTCTCTATAGAGCTGCATTTTTGCAATTAGGTCTTTCAAAGATGAAATGGTGCTTAGAAAAGCTTTCCTTTCCTCAAGCCAAGACTCTGGCTCTTGCTTAAGTGCTGTCATCTCTCTTTCACCATACGGAAATTCAGTGAGAGACAGCACCTGTATGCCTTCATGATGGACTGCTCTCAGCAAACCCTAAAATAAATA